GCTTTAGGTTTCTGATTAAGACCTTGGATTATCTTTTAATTAGAATTGACAATAAGTGTAATACTAAGTTATCTGTTGGACTTGAAGTTAATCCTCTTTTTAGTGATTATCTATACCTGTAACACTAACAGCACTATTAGCATTGTATGTTTATGTTTATAATAATATCTAATAAGAAACAATAACCAAACAATATCTGTATAAAATTGTGTACTGAAGTTACTCACTGCTAAGCTATTTAAGAGTTACATAGGAGTCTGTATCAAGCAATGACTCAATGACCAAAGAGGAAAAGGGGGGGACACAGGGGGAGATCATTTCCCAAATCCAGCTATTTTTGTAATTCCACTTTTATCATCCCTTACATCCCACATCCCCATTATTTTTTACGCCATATCTCACATCCCAAAGGATGTCATCTTCCTCACTCAAAAGCTCTTGTTTTTTACCCCATATCCCACATCCTAAAGGATATCATCTTCCTCGCTCAAAAGCTCTTGTTTTTTACCCCATATCCCACATCCTAAAGGATGTCATCTTCCTCACTCAAAAGCTCTTGTTTTTTACTCCATATCCCACATCCTAAAGGATGTCATCTTCCTCACCCAAAAGCTCTTGTTTTTTACCCCATATCTCACATCCTAAAGGGTGTCACCTTCCTCACCCAAAAGCTCTTGTTTTTTTACCCCATAGGGTGTCATCTTCCTCACTCAAAAGCTCTTGTTTTTACCCCATATCTCACATTCTAAAGGGTGTCATCTTCCTCACCCAAAAGCTCTTGTTTTTTACCCCATTTCTCACATCCCAAAGGATGTCATCTTCCTCACTCAAAAGCTCTTGTTTTTTACCCCATATCTCACATCCCAAAGGGTGTCATCTTCCTCACTCAAAAGCTCTTGTTTTTTTACCCCATATCTCACATACCAAAGGGTGTCATCTTCCTCACTCAAAAGCTCTTGTTTTTTACCCCATATCTCACATACCAAAGGGTGTCATCTTCCTCACTCAAAAGCTCTTGTTCAATTGTACTCCTTTGCTGCATCATTAAAGATTATATCACTGAATGTATTGAGTTTGCATCCTGGCACCAGGTGAATTTAAAGGGGAACTTAGACAATTCACTTCACAATGCTTTAGGTTGAAGTCAATATTCATGATATTAGGTCTATTGGTATAGGCCAGCCGTTGCAACAGTTTGGAGTTTCAGTACTAGTGTTCTCAGAAGCAGAAATTATATATTGACAGATAAAGGCACAAAATCCCATTGTCACAAAGCCTGCCAAAACTACATAAAATCAATCATGTAAATTCATGATGGTTTATTTAGGTCAGGAGGATTGATTATAACATATTCTGATAATAATCATATATTTATATAAGAAATATATCAATTTTTATACCAAACAATGCTGAATGAAACATAAAATTATGAAAGCTCCTCATCAAAACATCAATAATAAACACTTATCATAGATGTGTTATACCATTTAACTATTGTAAATACTTTTAGTATGATCAATGTCACTTTATCATTGATCATGTTGATGATATACATGATATAAGGACTATCGTTTTTGTAAAAGCTTGGTTATTTTTGTAAACATCTAAATTCAGGGTTTTCACTATGGATTTCCATAGGGACTCATCATATTTGGCCTTGGCAACTCAAACAGTGAGAAGAGGAAATTTGGTTGCTATACATAATTTTATTATTTCAATCTCCATGACATAATACATGTAGATCAAGGAAATAACATAAAATTTAGAATATTTTAAATTTGTTTCTATAAAATGATGATGATATATATGTCAATGAGCTCAGTTGATACAACATTTTATAATCTTGATGCATCTTTGGACTCACCAGTTTTGAAAATGATGAGTCCAGACAGATTTCATGAGTCCAGGACTCATGAACTTGCCTAAGTGATAACCACCTAAATTCTACATGTTCTATATTTTCTTGAAAGATGCATATAAAATTCCAAAAAGGTAAAGACGAATACTACATAGTTTTACAACAACATTTGTTATTCCAAGTATTAGAGTCAGTTATTCCCTCTTCCTTCTGCCTTTTATTCAGTTCCTTATCACCTTGCATCAACCATCTTTTAGCCTTTCTTCCACTTCATTCACAGCTAGCTCCACCTTCCTTCCCCCTTGTTATCTCCTTTTCACAGATATCAATTTCACTAATGTTCCAATCTCTTTCTGCCAAGATGATTAAGCCTCTAAATCTCATGTCCAGACTTTCAGTATAACCTTACTAAATCTATCATGTATCAAAAATAGAAAGGATCAAAATCTTACTTCTGAAAGTCAAACAAGAGCTTAATTGCCCACTCCTCAAAGTATATATCTTGATTGTTGATTACTTTGCTGTCAACAGTTTCTAACTATCTGGTATACTGTTTGAGATAATATACAAAAACTTGAATTTTAGTAAAAAATCAGTCATTTAAGTAAATAATTTAATTTTGGATGTAACACTTCTTCTGATTGGCTGAAAGTTTTTTGTCTATCAGCTCATTATGACATAGGCATATTTTTGTCATGTGACCATGACATCATCAACGTTTTTTCATGATTTACTCTTTAAAAATGGAATTTAGAATTAAATTATAAGGCATGACTGTAATATTTTTTCTGTCTTTTCGAAATAACCTCAAAAATGTGGTGCACACTTTTAAATAACCCAATACGCAGGTTATTCAGTGTGCACCACATTTTTTATGTTATTTCTTCATAGACAGCAAAAATATTACAGTCATTCCTTAAATAACTCCTTTAACAAGTGGTTTCATTCATTTAAGAATTAATGTAGTACTTGTATTGCTGATAATTTTTGCTGTTTACAGATTCTGCTTATCTATCATAGTTTAGAGATAATAAAACAAAACCTCAAAAATTAATCAAAATCATCATTTAAGGGCAAAAACCATGATAACTCCTGTAAAGTCAGCCATAAGAATTATTGCACATCTTGTATTGCTGATCATTTTTGCACCTTACAGTTCATACTTATCTATTATATTATTTTGAGATAATAGGCAAAACTTCAAATAAACTGTCGACACAGAGATATGCCTCGCATTTTTAAAAAATTTTGATGGTAAAATGCAAATGTTAAAATCAAAAAGGCAATATTTAAACCTGTAACTATGCAAATCATTCAAAGTTAATGAACCATGCCTGAAGGTGCAGGGCCAAATAACCTCAATGGAAATGTAAAATGCTAATGCTTATGAAACTGCATACAAAAATACCATTAACTTATCATAAGTGGTTCCCTTTAAACTAACCTAAACACAAACTTTGACTTGTAAATTATGTAAAAGTTTGGAAGTCAATGAAGCATGATGAGGGGTGGGTCATATAATCTCCATGAAAATGAGACTTGGAAATGCCAATACAACTGCATACCAAATATCACTGACATAACATTAGTCCTTCGTCTAAAACTGATCTAATCACAAACTTTAATATGTAAATAATGCAAAACATTTAGAGTCAATGAACCATGACTGAAGGGGGAGCCAAATAATCTCCATGGAAATGAGATGTGCCAATGCTAATACATCTGCACACCAAATATCAGACCTACCACTAATAGTTCCCCTTAAACTGATCTAATCAAAAACTAATACGTCAACTAAGCAAAAGTTTCAAAGTCAATAGACCATGACTGAGGGGGCAGGGCCAATTAATCTCTATGGAAATGAGATGTGCTAATGCTTATACAACTGCATACCAAAAATCATTGACCTACCACTAGTGGTTCCCCATATACTTGACCTCATCACAAACTAAATCATTATTGACGCTGCCACCGGAAACAGCATGCTTAAGTCTCGCTTTTTCAACTTCTTCGACGCAAGACAAAATGTTATTTCAAATGTACCTTTAGGTTTGAAGTCCTCTGTATTTTCCATTGATTATTAACTATATCAAGGTCATGAATGGTTTCTGTTCCAAAGTTTATCATTTTTTATTTCAAGAAAATTTCCATTGTTTGGAAGAGGTCATATTCTGTTACGGAAGCTTAATCTAAAGAGGAGGAGGTACTTTTATACCTATCAAAATTCTTCAGAATCAAAGGTTTATAGTGAATAAAAAATTGGTCATGGAAAATTGTTTGTTTTGCACCTTTGCAATTTGTATATATATATTTATATTTACTTCAATCCTTGTTTAAAAGTGATAATATTACATTTTTAGACATTAAAAAAACCAAAATTACTTGAAAATTATTGTTCACAATGCCATTTCACCCTTCCAGCCAGGTAAAAATAAATCATACCATAAATGAGGAGACTATCAGCACTGGTGCACTCTTTGCAAACATTGCTGCAAAACATTACTTTCCTTTCGCAATTGAAATATAAATATAGCCGATATGATAAGTGTCATGAATATATGCTTCAAGCTTTGATATTCTATATAAACAAACAGGCAATTGTGAAATATATTAACAGTTTATAGCTCTTACATGTAGTTAGGTGTACATGTACTTAGATTTTCAGAGGAAAAAAGCACTGCACAAGCGTAAGCACATTTTGGGATGTCATATCATGTCATGATTTCTCATTACCATAGGTTGGCAACTATGTTATAATCAACAGAAGGGTACCTCTTAAACTATCTAATGCATGTTGTTCATTATCTAGTGTTGTAAACACACACACGTGTATAACCTAGATTAAAAAAATGGAAACATGACTGAAAATGAAGGTAATATTTTAGCATTGTCGGAGAGAAAAATGACCTCTTGGTCAGTAAATCTAGCGCATCAACAGCAATAATTGATCTCAGATTATAATGATAGAGACCATGACCAAAATAACAAGGGTCCGCTGGGTCATCTACCAATTCAACTTACAAGGATTTATATAGAAAATGTAAATTCTTGATTACAAGTTTTTTCTGATTGCATAGTGATTTTGAATGAAATAAATGAATAAAAAAAATATCTGACATTTTCCTTTGCAGATTTTACTTACCAGCTTTTGTTTACATCTTCGCATGAGAAGTTGTGTAGATATTTATGAAAATGTTACATAAAATTTGTGTCTAGCAATGGCCTTCACCTTCAATATGATCTCCCCTTCTTGTCCTAATTTTAGACTAGCTGTGTTTACATACCTGTTCGTCACTGGGTCACTACTAATCAGGTTCACGGTTAGGTTATCATCCTGGCTTAAAAATTACACTGCTAGTAGGGCTATTCAGATTTAAATACTGGGGAAGGGGAAGTGACTAAATATCCATAGAAAGGGCTAATATGCCATGAAATTAATCAATCTATAGGGACTAATATTATCCTTGTTGTTTACAAGAGGGTCTGGATGGGGTTCTTCATTCCTGTATTCTTTAACTGGGGCGTGTTTTTTTGTTCTTCGGTAGTGAGCCAGAAGAGGTCCATTTCGGTTTTTTTGCATAGGGAATTTCTTCTGGCTCTCTTCCACCTCTTCTTTTTTGATAGGTAGTTTAGACGGCAGAGGCACATAACAAACATGGCGTCGTTTAGTCTAAATGACATTAATAAATTTATGAATGCAGATATATTAGAATGTGAGCTGTGTTATAAACGTTTTTTATGGTATGACAGTCTTAGTAGGGCATCCCTGTAGGACGATTAGCTGGATAAATATAAGAACTACACGGACAATAACAGTTAAGGGACGACTATTTGATATTCTAGGGAAGGGATTTGATTGATTGGTGTTTATCGCTACTCAGTTTCAACACTAAGTTGGACTATTCAGTGGTGGTCAGTTTAAATGTATAGATGAAGAATGGGGAAGGGAAGAGGGCATTATTAACTTTTTTAATCTGTCACTAATTAATTTATGCCTATTTTTCAGCTCTTACCAGGCAACTATATTCATATATGAAATCCTCCTGCCCCCCACCCCAATAAATGAATAAATATCAAATGGTTTTTCTTCTTATTTATCACAAGTTAAAATTGATTGATTGTTTGTTGCTAATTTTTAACGCCCAGTGACAAATATGTCATGCATGTTCAGGACTCGGTTCAGGAAAACACGAATTTAAAAGTCAGGTATATAATACAAAAACGAAGAGATGTATGATTGCTAATGAGGCAACTATCCACCGGAGTTTAAATATGAAGTGGATGTAAGCAATTATAGCCAACCGTAATTAAGGCCTTCAACAATGACAAAACCCGATACTGTATTAAAAGTCGTCTATAAAAGGCCCGACGTGAAAAGTGTGAGAAACAATTCAAACGAAAAAACTAACGGCCTAATTATACATAACAAAATAATTTACAAAATATCAAATATGAGTCGAGACATGAACCAACGACAACCACTAAACTACAGGCTCCTGACTTGGGACAGGCACACAAAGAATATGGCAGGGTTGATATAAAAACGAAGATTGCCAATGAGACAACCCTCCACAAGAGACCAAATGACACAGCAATTAACAGCTATCGGTCACCGTACGGCCTTCAACAATAAGCAAAGCCCATACCGCATAGTCAGCTATAAAAGGCCCCGAAATCACAAATGTAAAACAATTCAAACGAGAAAACTAACGGTCTAATTAATGTACAACAAAATGAACGTTAAACAAATATGTAACACAGCAACAAACGACAACCACTGAATTACAGGCTCCTGACTTGGGACAGGCACATACATTGTATGCGTGCATATAGATCCATATACAATGAAAATTTTTGAAAAGTGGTGGTCCGAAGGTTTTGACCATCGAAATTTTGCAATAGAAATAATAGTTAGGACCAGAAGATTTTCTTGAAGGACCACTAGAGAAAAATGATTTTGAGAACTTTCCGATATCTTTGCTTTATACAAAAATAATCCAGTTTGGTTACTTTAAAAAAAAATGGATAGACAAGATGTCCTTTTTGATTATATTCGAGACAAACATTGACGAATTTTTGTGCAGTTTAAGATTATTCTTAAAAATCAAATAGTGGGGGGTTAAGCCTAATTTGTCTAGCAAAATTGAGTTAGAGGAAAGAACAAAGAAAAATGTCACGAACAGAGCATGTAAAGCAAAATTCTATCCGGATGAAATATCATCTGGGGGAAAAAATGTTACAGAAGTTGTTGTTATTTTTTTACAGTCATGTCTACCGGACGTATCTTAATTTGCTATAAAATCATCGTAAACTTCATTTATGTCATCCAACATAACAAAAATCTGCTATATTCGACGGTAAATTGAATTTTTGTTTTATTGGTCTTCCGTAGAATATCTCCAGAAGAGGTCCAGATTCATTTTTTTGGACTCTTCACCAGAAGACATTCTGGAGATGTGCAGAAGAAACCAATAAAACACGCCCCTGTTTTAAAAGTTATTTTTCTCTATTCTTTATTTTTGGTTTAGTATCCTCTACTCTTTTACATCCCATCATACTCTATCTTTATTTTTCGGCCAATTTTGTTCTCTATTCTTAAATTTGGTGGTATATGTTAACCCCATCCATACCCTCTTACAATGAAAAAAATATAGTTTAAATGTGCCCGTCCATCACTGACTACGAAGAGGAGTGGACTTTAACTCATACAAGGTTATTTCATAATGGTTGTGAAGCTGCTTCTGATTCTTGGTCAACAAACACTAAACCATTTGGTTTATATGGTTATAATATTGGTCAAAAAACACTTAACCATTTGGTTTATATGGTTATAATATTGGTCAACAAACACTAAACCATTTGGTTTATATGGTTATAATGTAACACAATGTGTGAGATAACAATAATTATCAAGGTGAATTCAAATATAACATAACTGAAACAAATACATTTACCCTTTAGACACTAAATAACAATCTGTACGAATATTATAGACCTATACCCTGCAGCCAATAAATGACCATGTCTACTGTGAAATAACATGTATCCGTCAGGGGTTAATTGCATAGTTTGACAATTAACCACAGACTAGTATTACTCCACATCCAGACTACTACGCAACCTGCCAACAGCTACGGGCCATTGTGTAACGATGGATGACCCCACTGAACTATATAAGATCCAGCTTTGGACTCGAAGGATAGATTCGTACAGATAGATTCCGACAGGAGATTCCGCCAAGGTCTCCCCCCTTGTGGGTAGGCTGGAATTAATTCACTAACCATCCGAATTACTCAGTCAGGACCAAACAGTTATACCACTATACGATCACGTGTCCGTGTGACGATATGAACATTCGAACAATTCAACTTTAGAGACAGTTTGTGAACAATCGAACATTTGAACTTTAGAAGCAGTCTTAACTTTGTAATTACATAATAAAATTATTTATCCACTTACTGACTTCGTTACAAGTCGTAAAATTGATGCCGTTTAGACCAGGATCGACTTGGATTGGCTAAAACAACGCAAAGGAATATAAAACGTAAGAACTAAGTTACTTTCACTTTTATCTTTATGGACAATCAAGATATTTCTATGTCAGTGCAAAAAGTAGAAATGGCTTTTCAAGGGATGGCACACATGTTAAGTACAGTTTTTAATTTTAAAGGGAGTGAGGCCGTATATTTAAAAGGCTTAAAATCAGAAGTTTGTTCACGAGCTGTGGTTCGCACGAAATTTTTATTAGTATTTTTAGAAATTGTTCGTCAATTTAAGAATTATGAATACACATATTCTTAAAACAATTGAAGATATTGTTTAGTTATTTTTATATGCAGTTATTTAATAGATAGGATACGTTATATATAATAAGTATGATTCTTAAAAATAAAACTTTTTTTTGAGTTTGAAGAAGCTAGTTTTTCGTTTAGAGTAAATATGTAAAAAACTAAAATGTCTGATACTATAGCATTTATAGTATGGGTTGTTTTCTTGAAGATACATTCAATTATTCTAGAAAATATATATCTTACGTAAAATTAGTAGAGCACCGGTATATATGAAGGTTGATTTAGAACCTTTGGTAGATGAAGTTAAGGGTACATTGTGGGTTCATATGTTTGCGATGTTATAGCCATTGACGATTATGGTTTACGCAGTTGGGTAGTGTGTATGCACGTTTGTTTAGAGAAAAACAAATAGTCTATAATTTTAGATTCCAACCCCTTCTTCGGATGATTAACATAAGTGATGTTAAGTAATTAAATGGTGCAAGTTGTTTTATGGTGTTAGATTACGCCTTATTTACATAAAATAAATGTTAATAGATAAAGAGAAGTATCTTCAGAAAATAGCACATTAAAGATAAATGTTGATATGTTTTGCCCTAAGGGATTTACAGTATTTTTGTGGTAGATCGATATTTGTAAAAAATGAGAGACATATGAACTTCATGACTAATGACAAAATTTAAGTGAAATAGATAATTGATATTAAAGGAAAACTAGCATTAAAATAAAATAGATTTTTTTTAAAAACAATGATGAGGATAATTATCAGAAATTAAAATAAGAATAAGAAAATAATCAATTTAGTAGTAAAACAAAAAATGAGTCTAAACAATGGGTTTTGTTCATAAATAAGCATAGAACAAACTTTAAATTGTTTGGGTTTTTAAGAAGTAAGTAAAGTTTCAAAAAAAAAAAAATAGAATGAATAAAATCTCAACATATATACATTCAGTCATAATGAAATGTATGAAAAAGATAGGCAGTAAGTTGCTGATGTTTTAAAGCAAATTAAAATGATATATATAAAAAAGAAAGGAAAGATTATGATGAAGAAACTATAAACTTGTTTTGGAAAAATGTAATAGATTAAGGAGAAAGGCATTTTTTTTTCGCAACAAGGTGTTGTTGTCAAATAGGAAATATAGAGTCAGTAACAAATTACGCAAGACGTAGTTAAATTTTATCAATGTAATCTTAAATAATTTTAAGAGTGATGAGAATAAATTTGTGGACTATATTTAGCATTAAGATTAATTAATGAGAAACTAAAGTTAAAAACGTAAAAGTATTACAATTGGTAACAAAGTAACACCTATAATTTTTAGTAAATTTTTTATAGGTATCATGTAGGTGTAGGGGTTATATAAAATGATTGAATTGAACTTATTTGATTGTAAATTTATAAATATATTTCTTATGTCTTGTGTAAA